AGGGATTGAGAGGCCAAGGAACCAGGAAGCAGAAGCTGAAGAAACAAGGAACATAGGAAGCAGAGCTGCCTCAGTCTCAAAGGGTAAGGCCACGACCTCTGGGATCTCAAAGGGTGGAGCCATGGTGTTTCTAAGGGTGGAGTTGCCACTCAGATGGACTAGGAAAAGGGTGTGCCTAAAGCTGAGGGAGCAGAGTTGCCATCCCAGTGGGCCTGGAAGACGGAGCTGAAGCCCAGGGCTGAGGGGCCTCCACTCCTAGAATCCGGAGAGCGTGGCCAATACCTACAGTCTGGAGGGCAGGGCCATTGTGTAAATGGTCTCAGAGAACGGGATTATTTGCAAAGCCTTGAGGGTTAATATAATGTGTTCTGCTGACTTGCTTGGTGCCTATTATGTCTCCTTTCCCTGCAATTTCTTCCATTTGTAATGGAAATATCTAGCTTGTGCCTGCCTGTTGCACCATGGTACCTTTGGAAGCAGATAATTTATATTCTTGATTTCACAGATAAAGAGGAATTTTTGGATTTTTGACTTGGAGTTAAGACTTATGCTATGATATGATGGGGTGAATATGTTTTGCATCTTGCAAGGATGTGATTTTTTGGGGGACCAAAGGGTGGAATGTCATGGATTGAATGGTGTCCCCAAAAAATATGTGTATCAGTTTAGCTAGGCCATGATTCTCAGTATTGTGTGGTTGTCCTCCATTTTGTGATTGTAGTTTTCCCATGTGTTGTAAATCCTAATCTCTGCCTATGGTTAATGAGGCAAAATTAGATTATGTTAAAAGAGGATTAGGGTAGGATTGTAACACCCTTACTAAAGTCACATCCCTGATCAAATGTAAAGGGAGTTTCCCTGGGGTGTGGCCTGCACCACCTTTTATCTTACAAGAGATGAAAGGAAAGCGAGCAGAGAGTGGGGGACCTCATACCACCAAGAAAACATTGCTGGGAGCAGAGCGTGTCCTCTGGACCCGGGGTTCCTGCTCAGAGAAGCTCCTAGTCCAGCGGAAGATTGATGACAAGACCTTCCTCCAGAGCCAACAGAGAGAGAAAGTCTTCCCCTGGAGCTGATGCCCTGAATTTGGACTTCTAGCCTACTAGACTGTGAGAGAATAAACTTCTGTTTGTTAAAGCGATCCACTTGTGGTATTTCCGTTACAACAGCGCTAGGTGACTAAGATGGGGGCTACATCAGTCTTTTGTTTACGTTTGTTTAACTTACAGCATTTGTTTTTCCAATGCCCAGTTTTCTTACAATAGTAACAAGTACCCACCTTTGTGCCATTAGAAAGTTTAGCATTTTTATTTTGACTGGGAGATTGTAACTGTTGTAACTTTAGGGCCATTAATTTATTAGCCTTAGAAACCTTTTCAACTTAAGAGCCTGGAAAGTTTGTAAGCTAAGTTGATTAGCTTGACAATAGGAACTATCTCCCAGTTTAATTGATGCCACTTTACTAAGGCTAAGATCTCAGGCTTAAGACTAGATATGAAAACAGCATTGAACGCTACAGAAGTAGCTGGTGCAATCAAAATGAATGCAATGTGTTTAGAAAACTTTTGGAGCAGCTAAGTCTGATAATCATAAAAGCTTTTGTTTTTATTTTGTTTAAAGAGTGAATTTTAGTCCAATCAATTAGTGGAGGAAAGGCTTTTGGGATAGCCTCTAGCAATTTTTTACTCTTGACCTGAGAGTCTTCCAACAGCTCGGTGGCCGTTTAATCAATATTTAAGGCTTAACTGTCCTTGGAGTCTTTCTATTCTGCCTGTTCTAGCCAAAACTGGGCTTCCGCTGTGCCAGTAATCATGTGAACACGATTATATAAGTCAGGGAGCCCAGGTTTGTAGACTTCAACAAGGATTTAAAATTCTTCAGAAAGTCTGTAGAGGCCACATGGAGTTTAGGAAAATATTTCACAATGCTATGCAATTCTGAGTGTGTCCATGGAGCAAAAGGGATATGAAGGGAATCTTCAGTACCATAGCTGGGATGTATTTTAAAGGTTTATTAGGGAAAAAGAGAAGTTCAGATAAAGTGTTATCAGAGGAATAGGAAGGCAAAGAAGGATATAGAGAGGTAGTAGCTGGTAGGGGAGCAGAAGGGGTGGGAACTGAAATTTGACATTGTAATACTTTATTCTGCTTAGTTAATTTAGAGACAGTGTCCTGTGGGGAAGCAGTTTTACCAACTTGATGTTTTTTAGAGGACTCAATATACCAATTAAAATAGGCAACCCACTGGGACTGTTTAATCTGAGAACCTTAGTTCTCTAATTTACTATGCAGAAAAGTTAACCTAGAGAGATCAAAAGAACCTCAAAGTGGCCACTTATTTTCCAAACTGTCTCGAGTGAGATTATGCCAGATAGACAAGAACATTCGTTTAAGGAACTATAATGCTTGTTCATGTACTGAGCAGGAGTTCCAGAAGGTGGCTCCACATCTCCCGTAGATACGGCATTCCCCATTTTATAATGACAGTCAAAACAAACTTTTACTTGCAAGAACCCATAAAACTCGATGAGCTATCAATACAAGGGCGTGGAGCTTGCATTTGACAGGTTTTTTACCTTAAAATAATCCTGAGGATTCGCGGAGGTGGAGAGCCCAAAGTGGCCCAGCTGGTACTGTGCCTGTGTCCTTGATGCCTTGGAGATTGAAGAAGATAATGCACCTTCGAAGTCCCACTTCTGACACCAGACATGTTAACAAAGAAATTCTTGTACTCTGTTAGGAGTGAAAGAAAAGGAGTTTTATTGAGGAATAATAACAGCTATATCTGGGCAGCACTAGGTAAAAATACAAAGTGGCCCACGGTTCAAGCAGAGAGAGGGGTCTATATATAGAGAGAGAGCAAAGGAAAGGTAGGGGGTTAATGAATGTAAATAAGACTAGCTTCATCTTGAAGTCCTTTGAATTGTAAAGGTCCACCACCTGGTTAGGGAGGAGTGAGTTAGCACTTAGGTGTGAGATGCCAGCCAGTTCCATTATACTTGATTGTAAAATAGTAGTCAGTTATTTATGATTGTAGTCTGTTCTGGAAGCAAATTGTTTACACATTCTTCCCAAATGATTTACATCCTGACCGGTTCAGTTAGTTATGAACACATTCTTCCTGAGAACAATTGTTTACATCTTGACACACTCTTCCTTAAATGTTTTACATGCTGACTTTTTGTTTCCTGAGGATGCATGTTGACCCTATCACTCTTAGTCTGACATGAGTGCCTCCAGTTTGAAACTTTTCCATTTACAATAGTTATTGTTTTCTGTGTCTTATCAGAAAAGTTTTTGCCTATTCTAAAGTCAGAAAGATATTTTCCTATGTTTTTTCTAGAAACTTTATAGTTTTAGCTTCTATATTTAGGTCTGTAATTAATTTCAAAGTAAATTTTGTGTATGGTTTGAGATATGGATCAGGATTAATTTTCTCCCATATTCATAGCCAGTTGTTCCAGCACAATTTGCTGAAAATACGTTCTTTCCTTTGTTGACTTGCTTTGGCACTTTAGTTGAGAATCAATTAACTGTTAGGAGTGTGGATCTACTTCTGGACTGTCTGTTCTGTTTCACTGAACTATTTTTCTGTCTAAATGCCAGTGCCATACTGTGTTGATTTATTGTAGCTTTACCATTAGTCTTGAAATCCAGTAGGTCCTCCAACCTTGTTCTTATTCTTAAAGATTGCTTTGGTTTATCTAGGTCTTTCTCTTTTTCATATAAATTTTCAGATAAGCTTGTCTACAAAATAGCTTTGTGAGATTTTGATTGTAATTATATTGAATCAGTAGATCAATTTGGGAAAAATTGAATCTTAGCAATACTGACTTTTACAATGTATGTATGTAGTGTATCTTTCTATTTGTCTACTTTAATTTCTTTCAAAATTTTTAAAAAATAGTTTTCAGTTTAGACGTCTTACACATATTTATTTAAATTTATCTCTAAGTATTTTGAGCTTTTTAATATCTTGTAAATTATGTATTTTTAAAAATTCATCTTCAAATTACCAGTATCTTGCTGATATTTAGAAATATAATTGATTTTTGTATATTGATCTTGTATTTTACACCTTGCTAAATTCAGCATGCCATGTATTTTGCTCAGTGCTTTATAGAATTTCAAGTTTACTCTCATAGCCATCTATTGTGCAGGTGTTATTACAATCATATTTTGTACAAAATTTGCCCCAGATATGCTACGTTCCTTGCTCAGAGTCAAACAGTTTGAGTAACAAGGGGACTAGCATTTGAATTTAGACTACTCTTATTCCAAGGCCCAGTATCTTTCCACCTGACTACACCCATTCCTCACCAGATCGTTAAGTGAAAATCGGTGTTATGTGAAAATGAAGGATGACCACATCAGATCACAAAATGGATGACTATATCATTACATAACTGCCAAATTACATTACTACATAACTGCCAAACCACTGAGAGTCATGGCCCACCCAAGCTGACATATAATCTTAACCATCACAGCCAGATTTACTTTCACCTTGTACCTCGGCATTCATTACTGCCAGACATACGTTGTTAATGCGCAAAATAGTCAGATAGTAGATTTTTTGTTATTGTCGTAAATGTGAAAGGCTGGATAACAAGATAGTTGGTAAGTGAGAAGTTGGTGTATAGTGCATCACCTTTTGATATCTGCATGTTAGAATGGAGCGATACCTTGGGGCTTCCCTAGACTCCACTGGGAAATTTTTGCATCATCATGTTTCACAAGGACATGAATTAGCCAATATAACCCCTAAAACAGAGATAACAAGAAGAAAATGATGAAGAGAGTAGTGGCTTTTCCAGCTTAAAAGATCAGTCAGATTTTTTCTATGTTCATCATAGAGGGTTGTTAATGAAGTCATATGTAATGCAAAGTTTAGTCCCTTTTTACCCAATCTATTAGTGTACATTAGCAGCTGCTAAATTTCCCATTTTGTGGATGCTGTAAAGCTTGTTTTCCACCCTTCTCTCCCACAATGTCCTGTAGGAAGTCATTTCTGTACAGCTAAGGACCTCACAGAGGATATCGGATCATTAGCCTCAGAGAGAGAAGGGCTGGAGGGACTCCTGAACAAGCTGTTGGTGCTGAGTTCCAGGAACGTCAGAAAGTTGGAAAGTATTAAAGAAAATTATAACAAGCTGAAAAGAGAACTGGAGCATGGGGAAACTGCCCATGGTAAGTGGTTCACAACTGTTGACCAGTGGATATTTACTGTATTCTGTGGCCAGTCAATACACTCTTTGCTTCATGTGACCATCACTGTGAAGGGTGTCATGGAACACATGACCCTTCCTGGAGGACTATTTTGGCAGGAACCTTGGCAAATGATGTGGAATTTCATGTAAACTTTTGTTTTGCTATTCGTTTGTGACATATGTATATATATGACATATATATGACATACATATATATATGTATATACTTTTGTGCTTTAGGTGAAAGCTTATAGCTCAAGTTAATTTCTCATACAAAAATTTATACATATATTGTTTTGTGACATTAGTTGCAATTCCCACAATGTGACAGCACACGCCCCCTTTCCACCCCAGGTTTCCTGTGTCCATTTACCAATCCTGTCCCTTCTTGCCTTCTCATCCTGCTTTTGGACAGGAGCTGCCCATTTGGTCTCATATATCTGATAGAACTAAGAAGCACATTCCTCACGTGTATTATATTTTGTTTTATAGTCCTGTGTAATCTTTATTTGAAGAGTGGGCTTTGAGAATGGTTTCAGTTCTGGGTTAACAGTGCGTCCTGGGACCATAGTTGTGAGGATTCTTCCAGTCTCTGTCAGACCATTAAGTCTGGTCTTTTTACGTGAATTTGAGTTCTGTTCTACGTTTTTCTCCTGCTCTGTCCAGAACTCTCTGTTGTGTTCCCTGTCAGGGCGGTCATTGGTGGTAGCCAGACCATCTAGTTCTTCTGGTCTCATGCTGGTAGTCTCTTCTTCATGTGGTCCTTTAGTCCTTTGGGTTAATATTTTCCTTGTGGCTTTGGTTTTCTTCATTCTCCTTTGCTCCAAGAGGGATGGGGCCACTTGATATCTTAGATGGCCACTCGCGAGCTTTTAAGACCGTAGACGCCACTCACCAAAGTGGGATGCAGAACATTTTCCTAAGAAGCTTTGTTATGCCAGTTGACCTAGATGTCCCCGAAACTATGGTCACCAGGCCCCTGCCCCAGCTACTCTGTCCCTCAAAGTGTTTGGATGTTTCCAGGAAACTTTTTAGCTTTTGCTTTGGTCCGGTTGTGCTGACTTCCCCTGTATTGTGTCTTGTCCTTCCCTTCACCAAAGTTGACCCTTGTCTACTATCTAGTTAGTGATTTCACTTGTGACATCTTTTATTTTTCTTTTTTTCCCCTTCTGTCCCCTGGATTTACTAATGGCCTTGTGATTATTTAGAGCAATCTCTCCCTTCTTTCAGGTCCTGAGCATTTTTTGTTTGTTTGACAATCATATCCCTTTTGTCCCTTGGCTCAGTCTTCTGGCCAGCACAGACTCTGAGAAAACTGAGAAAAGACCATCGGGTGGCTCTTCTGAGTGTGAGCTTTTCTGAGAGCTTCTTTCCTCAGGAAATGCCATAGAAGGTGCCAATATGGCCTTAGCCAAAGTATCTGCTTGTTGGAGGAGTTAAAGTCCTCCTCCTCCTTTTGTTAGAGTAACTGAAGTCACCTTGAGGTCTGTACCCTGAGGAATAGGCCCAGAAGATGCTCATTCAGTCCAAGTTGACTCAGGAAAAACTTCCTTCTTAAAAAAAAGGAATTTTTGATGATTCGGTTTCTAATATGCAGAGTAAAACAGTAAGAAGCAATTTCAGATTTAAAATAAATTAGATATTGGAACCTGTTTCTTCACCAGTAAAATGAGAAGAATTACACTGGTCCCATAGGCTGATTAAATAGTGAGGATTAAATGAGGTAATATATAAAGATCCTGATGTGTGTGTATGTGTGTGTGTTTGTCCTTCCATTTGTCCCAGGGGCTAAAAATTACAGGAGGGCAGAGGTCATAAATGACATATCATAGATCCTAAATAAATGCTTTTTACTACTAAAATGGTGGAATATATGTGAATAAATGACTATGTTTTAAGAAGTATGCTTATTTAAAAAGAAATAAGAAAATAATGGGGATTTGAAATAAGGCTATTATAAAATATTCCACAAATTGAAGTAAATGAAGGTTAACATTTAACACCAATAAGGAAATATAAAATCAGCTAGCAGAAATTAGGTATGTTGATTTGAGATGAACAAAATTTGTTTTAAAGGCTTACTGAATTGTGTAGAGAGTGGTTTCCTCACAGAGTTACTTGGATCAAAGATAGTGGGTTCTGTTGTGTCTTCTCAGCCACAAACATATCTATATTGGCTCAACAGTTCAGAGCTGGTTATCTTTTTTCTTTCTTTTTTCACTTTTGCAGTTCAAGCCTTGTTTTTGCCAAATAGAGAACTAGAGACTGTACATTTGAGCCTAAATATATACTATAGTTCTGAGGAATTACAACATGCTCGCCCAACATGTCCTAGTATGGTTTTTCAGGTTATAATAGGAATGAGCATTGCATATTTCAAATGAGTTTTTGTTTTCAATTTTTTTTATGCTTAAACAATGAAAAATGTGATATTTCTTGTTATCACCATATTATTTTTGACATAAAATGAGGAATCTATTATATCTAAGAATGAAGATATGGACACATTTGAACAACTTCAATCCAGCAATATTTTCGTTTGAACAGTTGAGCTATTGAAAGCCCTTAATATCTCTTAAAAAAGAGACTGTATGGTATTTTGAGAATCTCATTATTGTCACTTCAAGTATTTTCAAAATGATGAATAAAACATAAACAAATGGAATGAGAGATTGTTACCATGGATGATTCTAAATTGCAGATGGCTCATTACCGTGGTGAAGGCTTTCTTTATGTTTTGTACTTGAATTTTGCTGGATCAGCTACCCTTCTCCCTATATCTTGATTTACATGTGTCTCAGGCTGAAGCTAATTTTTAACCAATGTGAAGTGACTTAACTTTGGTGAACCAAATTAGTAATCTTGAATTTGTGGAGATGTAAGACACAAATAAATAAGAAATGAATTTCTCAGTAAATTGAAGGTTTTGTCCATTGAAGTGTAATAAAACCAGGCCAATGTCCATATTCTGCCGTTTGTTGGGTTTTGAGAGTTAAAAATTCAGAGAGAGCTCTGTGCTCACGTTTAAATGTAGAGCAAGTATGAAGGGACAGCTATATGCATGTATGTATTGTGAGCTGATTCTTTTTAATCTTAGATTAAAACATTTATAAATAAAATGGTTTAGGAAAAGAACAATAGGTAATTAAAATTGTTTTTTCTTTTGTTGTTGAAAATATATACAGCAAAACATACACCAATTCAATTGTTTCTACATGTATAATTCAGTGACATTGTTTATATTCTTTGAGTTGTGCAACCATTCTCACCCTCCTTTTCTGAGTTGTTCCTCCTCCATTAACATAAACCCACTGCCCCCTAAGGTAATATGTAATTTTTAAAAATAGAGTTTTGATTTCTAGCCATGATTGCAGAATGTGGCATTCAGGAAAATAGATGATTCAGGGATGGAAGAGCAATTCCATGATTGTCAGGAATCCAGAGGGCTTCCACTTTGTTTTGTGTTCCTGAGCACGTGACATTCACTGCATGGTCCAGGATGGCCGACCCAGCTACATATGTGTCCACAGGCCAGGCAGCAGGAAAGGGGAGGGAAGAGAGCAAACCTATCCCCTTTCAGGGCACTTCCAGGAATCTGTACACACCTCTACAGCTTACATCCCTGTGGCCTTAACCTTGTTATATGAGACACCTAACTAATTGCAAGGTGGAGTCCCTGGGTGGTGCAAATGGTTAGGTGCTAGACTACTAACCTACAGGTTGGCAGTTTGGACCCACCCACAGGCACCTTGGAAGATAGGCCCGGTGATCTGCTTTTGAAAGATTACAGCCTTGAAAACCCTATGGAGCAGTTCTACTTCTGCATGCATAGGGCTGCCATGAGTCAGAATAGACTTAACGGCAACTCACAACAAAAGTTGTAAGGGCAGCTGGGAAATATCCTTATCCTGGGCAGTTCTGTGCCTAGCTAGAAGCCAGGTGTTCTGTTTGTAGAGAAGAAGGGAAGATTGGCATTCTTGGGAGAACAATTAGTAGTCCCTCTCATGCAGGGAGCTCTTACTGATGTGAAAAGTATGTCTCATCATGTATCATGAATGAACTTCCTTTGATGATCATTTAAAAACATAATTTTATCTTGTGTCTCAGACTGGATTGTAAGTACATTGAGGGCAAGGAGATCGTGCCTTCTGTTTGGTTTGTATTGCTGCAGTATCAAGCATGCTGTCTTTAAAATAGTAAACACGTAGTAAATATTTGTTCGTTTACTGGGGTCAGATTTTAAAATGAAGTGGTAGGTCTGTCTTCATTTTGGATCACAGACTCAGACCTTGGATGTCTTGCTTCTTTGTTTTCCAGTTTAACGAGAGCAGTGGTAAGTTTGATAGTTTTCATGAAAGATGCTTGTGTTGTCTGGGTAGGGTATTCAGATTTGGATGTCAGCAGACAGAACAATGTGATGATAGAAAAGGGACTGAAATATTCTAACATACTCAAGGGCAAAGGGAGACAGAAATCCTCACTGAATCCATTGAGCTTTGTCACAATGACACAGTCCCTATGAAGACTCGAGGAAGGCATGTGCTTTTCATTCCTTTCAGCTGTTCTTAAGCCTTTAGGAGAACACATTGGAATTCTGAGCAATTTTAAGTTCAGTGAAATAACATGAAAGCTAAATCTATCTTTCAATCCCTGAATACTTATGGAAATTAACTATAAACCTTTAATTATTGTGGATTTAATTTTTTTTTTAAGGGAGGGTAGGATGAAAAAAATCAGTAACTTTTTTTACAGTTTGCAACATTTACTTTTCAGAAAAAAAAAGGCTACCCTGAGATTTATATAACTGTTTCTGCATCCCTTGTGTATAAATTGGTAATCTGTATTGTACTTTATTAATATTGTTGATTTTGCACTGTAACTCACATATAAAGGAGGCAGATGTCAAGGGGAGCGATTTAGTAATCACAGAATCATCAGGGCTAGAATTTTAAATAGGACATCATTAGCATGTTAATGAAT